TACAAGTCTACACATAACATGTCGAGATGATGTTCTAGTGGTGTTGCGAAAGTGCAAAAAGCGCACTCTCACAGTGACGCGGTCTCAAAATTTTCTAAAAGCCTGGCCATGTTCATGTCAAGATTAAGACAGGGGCGTAACCCTGAAGAAACAAGATCATGCCCCGGAGCTTGCAACGGAGGGCCTGGGGCTCGGGGTCTACCCTGTCTACATGAGCTCCCTCTGCGCGCCTTTGCTGCATGAGGCTCGCCTCAAACTCCAGAATCCGCAGTCCGACATCTTCGTCTGCCTTACTGCATCATGGGGGTAGCAAGGACTTCGCCAAGACCCGCAGTGCAGAAGGTTGCCGGGGAGGGCTTGTTTTTGGCAGTGGTCCTTTTCAAAAGGCCTCTGCACAGAATAATCCCAATTACGGAGCTCCGCGCCAGGAATTGGAAGGAAGTTTCTTGGAGACATGGAGCTCGGTGTAAGATGGAAAATCCCTGAAACAAGGTGGCTGCCTTTCCCATATAAACAATAACGACAGAAGTAGATATATGTACAACATATAACCTGTACCTGCTATATACAGCTACATGCCTGCAGACATCACAAACTGAGAGACAAGTCGCTCCCAGGCAAAACTTTCAGAAGTTAGCTCTGCGATTGGTAGTGTTGTTCCTCTGGTTTAAGGTGCAGCACAGGACCTTCTTGCTTTAAATCGCTTCTTCTCCTACTGTGAGCAGGGCACGTGCAATCGCTTTCTAGGATCATGTCAAGCACGAGTGCTACGAAGTGTACCGTGCACTGCAGAAAAAGATGCTGTCCCCTGCGCTGTGTATACAGTTCAAGCACATGCTTGCATATGAAGACACAGACACTTAGAGGCACACAAGTACCCGGAGATCGAAACCCAAACCGCGAAGTACGAAATACATGTGAAGGCTATCGTACATCTACACTGCATCTGCATATGATTGCAAAGTCATGAATACTCATACACTCATACATGAATATACAGATAGTGATACATACTCACGTCCATGCACATACGCATACACCTACCTGCGTATGAGTACATATGGCTACAGACGCACACACGCAGTCGGCTTGATAGGGCTTTAAGCAGACTCAGTGTCCACGACCCTGAAGGCCAAAACCGATCAGGCCCAAGGTCAAAGACTTAAAGGCGAATGCAGGGGCCTTGATAACTAACTAGAACAGGGCTTTGGGGGGTACATACTAAGCATGTCTCGAGACAGTAGAGGGGATAGTGCTACCAATCATCTAGACTACTTCACAAATCCCAAGCGCAAAGAACTCCCTTCCGCCCAAAGCCAACTTTCGAACCCCACGGCTCAGGGCCCAAGACGACCACCCACCTCCCCCAGGGGCCGTGCAGCATACAGCTTCTGAAGACTTGGGATGAGAGTGTTGCTAGACATCGGGTTCAGCTCGACCTTGGTGCCAGAACCCTGAAGAGAAGGTCATTAGAGGGGCCACCCTGCTACGTAGGGTCTGCGTTCGGCAGCCCTCTCTCGCAGTTAATTTACCACACAAAGGGACAACCCCGAAGAACTCAGGACCGCCTGGATACTTGCTTCGCCTTTGCACCACAGTATACTGTGTTGTAGGGATTTTTCCATTTGATGACCCGAGTGAGAAAGGCTTGGGGTAACTTTCCGATAAAGGTACACAGGAAGCATGCACAAGTCATGCAAGGCAGTTTCTGTCCATTTAGGTTGCGATGCTGCAGCACACTGCAGATGTACCTTCATCGCCAGCACGTGTCGAACCATGAACACAGCGGAATCTCTACGCACCAGGACCAACCATGTCGGATTTATCCTCCTCATCCTCCCCTCCACACCACCACAGCAACCACAACAACAGGTCCGACATCATCACCAAATCAAGACATGACCACCACCCTCGTCAGCAGCATCGCATTTCTCCGTAACGTCAGCATGATCGTCGTCACTGTCCCCATCACCATAATAGTCATAGTGAGCGTTGAGAATCACCGTCGCCATCACCACCCTTGCCACCACCGTCATAACCACCATCGCATTAGTCTCCTATGCGGTTCCGCCCTGATTCCTTCCAGGGCACCACGATGACTGTCTGGGCGCCCTCTTCCAAGGCCTTGTCCATTGGCAAAGGAAGCCCGACACTACGGGAGTAAGCGATGATGGACACAGCATGCGAGGACCTCCAACGATGGATTGATCTAGTCTTGCTGGTTTAGAGCACAGGCCGAGGAATGTGCGTGTGTGTCTATGTGGGGTGTTGGCTGCTCGCCTTCATGATCGGCGTGTTCGCCACGAACCCGCCGTCAATATAGCCCACACCATCCACCTGCGGCGATGCAAGCTGTACATGGAACGCAGTTCAACAGACAACGAGTGAATAATAAATGAAGCTTACACCAAACTTCCGATCAAGATCAAGGTATCAACAATGGGAAAGCGAGCCGGCAACTCTTGATCATTGACTGCCTTGGACCCCTTGCTCGAACGAACATGAGACATGCAACTACAAATATAGAAGAAAACTGTTCGTCACCATTGCGAGTCATGTAGAATCCTCTGTTTTCGCGGGATCCCGAGACAAGAGACACCGGACTCATGTCTTGCTGGAAGGGGCCATCCGAAAGCCGCGAAGGCCACTACACTACCTGGCCCTTATTCTGCAACCCCAAACCCTCAGCCACGAGTCGAACCCATTTGGCCTCCTTTGGAAAAATCAGTGGTGCAATCGCACCGGAGGCCTCTGAGGTTGCAGAGCTTTGCGTGTTCGAAGGACAGTCCGTCTGACTCTGAGCTTAAGCGGGGTCTCCAAAATTTGGGGTTTTTTTGAAAACTTTTCAGAGCCCCGGGGGGTTTCGTCTCAGCGGTTCTTGGGCCCCAGGGCCAGGTACTTCGAAGTCCAAAAACCCATCAGAAAGTTCTTTGAAAGGTGCCGAAAGGACAGGTCTTCTTGGTTCATGGGCCATCCCAGAACCCAGAACCATACTCCATACCCGCGCGGACGTTGAACTGGGTTTGTTCATTCGGAACCCCTTCACTTCCGCCCAAGCACCTCGCAGCCCTCGATGATGCGCTCATCGGTCTCTTGCCACCTCCGAGCTAGGACAGGGATTCCGTGTAATGATGCACGATGCGGAGGCACCTTTGCAACACCTTTCACGCAGAGTCCATTAGGAGAACAGAGAGAGCGGCCTTTCAAAAAAGGTCCTAGAATGAGGCGAGTTCTTTGGTGCCCTGTAAAGGTTGCCGAAGGGGGTGCACATTGCACGGAAACCCTAACTTGGCACAGGCCCCCCCCCTTTTGGAGATCCGAGGTCGGTTCTCGATGCCTGTGGGTTGTCGGGGCCGTGCTATCGGAGACTGGATGGATCAGAAACCCGCCCGGGATGAGACGGAGTCCTATGATCAAACTCCCATGTTTGACATGCTTCTAGTATAGCAAAACCCCTTGCTATAGGCCCTACATTGCAGTATAGTACCACCAGTAAGCCCCTACATCCCTCCCATCGTAAAGGCAGCATCCGAAGGCGGAGACCCCTGGGTTCTTTTTTTGGTTATACTGTAGTACCGATTCCAAGAAAGAATCCAGCGAAGGCACCATTTCGGCAGCCCGGTCGCCAACGACGTGGCGACCACACGCAGCATCATTCCAGACTGTCCTCGGTGGGCATTGGATGACAAGGGGGGGTTCTCGAAACTAGGGTACATGTTCTACTATGGTCCTTGTATCAAGGATCCTGCTCTTTGGATCCTTACTTTTCTGCTCGATGTCTTTTCTCCGGGGATCCTCGAGGTGGGGGTTCGACGATGAAGATGGCAACGAAGTTAATGATAGCCAGGGTTTTCAAGCCTCAGGATATTACGAGGGTGATGGTATGAGCATTCCAGCATGGTCTGGCGTTCACGTGTGCGCAATGCGCGGGCCAACATGCACCATAAACCGAAAGCCCCATGGCCTAAACCCTCAACCACACGAACCCTTGTTGTTTGGACGAGGCCACTCGGGGTTTCTGGATTCGGATGATGGTACCACTGGCAACAGGAAATACCAGTAATGATAGCAACAACGGTACTCACAATATTTGCAAGGAAACTTGGGTCAAGACCCTGTAAAAAATCATAAACCCTAAACCCTATAAGGAAATCATAAACCCTAAACCCTACAAGGAAATCATAAACCCTAAAACCTATAAGGAAAGCTGATTCCGCCCAGCAGTCTAATGCGCTCTTTCTTGACCGCGAACTCGAAAGCTTTCCTCCACAACAGCTGTGATTCCCGGTTTAGACTATAGCTAAAATATTATAATGTGGCATAACAGGTGATAACATAGTATGGCATAACATGACATGCCATGATGCAATACAACATGATATAACATAGCAGCATAGCATAAAATAGCACAACATCACATATCATAGCAGAACACAACCTAACATAAGATAATGCAGTAAACAAGATGTTATGATAGCGAATAATATAGTACAACACAACATAGCATAACATAACATGCCGAAGCATGACATCATACAATACAGCGCAAAAGTTGAACATAACATACATAGTAACATCTTGTACTTGCTGGCTTAGGCTTTGGGGTTTAAGGTTTGGGTTCGTGTTGGGATGGTGAAGAGGTGAAGACTTCTGCGCAAGAGCCGGATCTGCACCTGCAGAATCCAAGGGAAAGATGCACCCACTTCACAATCAAAAGTCAAGCTCTCAATGCTAAGCATCACTCCGTAGAAAGACCTGCATCAGGAGTACTGAGGTTGAACACGCACGCAGAACCTATAGTAACAACTCAGTAACGACCACACACAGCAACGCAAACTCACCAAATATCTCACCCCGAGGGCCGAGTTCCGAAAACCCAACCCCCCGCTCACCACCAAATCGTAAACCCTAAACCCTGAACCCATAACAGCACCACTGCCCGGCCTGCCGGGCTTGGGGTCGCACACCCCACCCCGGCGATAGAAGGCCATGGCCTGAAGAATGTGTCTGCTGCTTATTTCGGGTCCAAGGAGCTAAGGGTCTGGGCTGAGGCCTCCGGATTTTGGAGTGCGGGAGCTGGGATGTGAAGGGCTAGGATTTGAGGCTCTGATGCTCTCATTGCTTGGCACACTCGCGGCCGTTTAGAAGCCAGGATTAGACGAGGGATAAGAAAACACAACAGCACGCATGATCAAGGTGTCCATGGTAACGGCCATGGTGATGATGACGACGATGATTGGTGCTGGTGTAGGTGCTGGTGCTGGTGCCGGTGCCGGTGCTGGTGCTGCTGCTGCTGCTGCTGCTGCTGCTGCTGCTGGTAGTACTGTTGGGGCTGGTGGCGCCGGTGCCACTGGTGGTGCTGGTGTCGCTGGTGCTGCTGCTGGTGGTGCTGCTGCTGGTGGTGCTGCTGCTGGTGCTGCTGCTGGCGCTGGTGGCACTGTTGGGGCTGGTGGCGCTGGTGGCGGTGGTGGTGCTGGTGGTGCTGGTGGTGCTGGTGATGCCTGTGATGCCTGTGATGCCTGTGATGCCTGTGATGCCTGTGATGCCTGTGGTGCTGGGTGATGGTTCTGATGGTGGTGATGGTGGTGATGGTGGTGATGGTGGTGGTGGTGGTGATGGTGGTGATGGTGGTGATGGCGGTGATGGTGGGTGATGGTGGTGATGGTGGTGATGGTGGCGATGGTGGTGATGGTGATGGCGATGGCCATGACTTTGACGACAGCGATGGCTACGATGAGGCATGATGGGCATCATCGTAATCATCGTCGTCCTCATCAGGGTCATCACCGTCATAAGCATCATATCCATTAGCATGATGATACGGATTGCTTCCATCATGATACAGACTGCTTGTACTCTGAGGCTCTGGCCATAGACATAGCACGGATGCCGGTAAGGCAGGGCCTTGGACTGTCGGTTTCCTAAATGTTTCTTGAAGCTTTCTACCTCAGGCTTCGCAGCTGCAGGGTGTCTGTGGCTGGGAACCATGCCCGAAACTCTAAACCCTACTGAGGGGGGTCACTTGCACGTCGGGGCGCTGATCTCTTTGGCACAATAGATACTTGTCGCCTGGAGAAAACACATTTGCTAGTAGCGCTTTCCGTACCATTGCCGAACTAGCAATAGTTGCCCACGTCACTTGCCACTCCAATGCAGGGATGTTTCACGAAGCAAATCAACGGCCCAACATGAAGGAAAGGCAACCTCTTCTAGGCAAGCCACTCGCGGCTTGTCTTTGTATCGCCCGGGTCCACATCCTGATGAAGGGTCTGGGTTTAGGGTAGCTTGGGCATTAGGCTTAAGCATGGGCTTCTGCGCATGAGACTTTGCAACTTGATGGGTGGGCCTGGGGTTCCAGAGCGTGAAACAGTGTCTGTACGACAGCACTGCAAAAAGAGTTGCCAACACATGCATGTGCAATGGCATTCTCAAGACAGCCCTAAAACCAAAGTCGCCACAACCTCTGCTGCGAATTCTACTAGGCTCGTGAAGTGCTTGAAGCTGCGAGCAGGGTCGCCGCTTGAAGATTCGTCGTCGCACTTGGGATAGGGAAGCTATACTGAAAAGAATCTGAGGCCACGGCTGCCAACTCCGAGGAAACCCAAACCTCAGAGCTAACTCAAAGGAACCTTCATTCCTGAGCATATCGCTGAACCCTTTACCTTCATAATTTAGGAACTCTAAACCAGCAGCCCTAAACCTAGAAGGGCTTCGGGCTTGGAGTTTCAAGATCTCAGGATGTGAGGGCTTAGGTGTTTTTGGACTTAGGGTTTAAGGAGCTTAGGGTTTCGGGAGTTTGGATTGAAGTCGCTTAAGCTGCTAGGCTCCAACTGATTTGCATCTAATCAAACATAGTAGGGGCAAGAAGAACCGTTAAATCAACAAGCGAGGCTGCAACTGAAGTAATGCCAACACTGCCCGAACAGGCCTGTTACTTGATGCTGCTGCTATCAACTCTGCTACGCTGATGAAGCTGGTAATGCTGATGCTGACGGCGAAGAAGAAATGGGGGATGTGCGATGAAGCTTGCCAGGACAAGGGTAATGACGATAGTCGGATAGTCCTGGCTCCGCACCTGAAGAGGAGCCACACATCACTGTAACTAACAATTTGTCGCGCTCCTACTCGGTGGTTGCACGTTAGGCCGCAGCCAACGCAGAACTCGCACTGCGTTCCCTCGGTTGTACACAAGTAGTTGCAGCTGCGATCTTCTTAAGCTTGCCACAGCAGGAGCTCTGCAAGCCACTTTGGGCCACGCTCAGTCGTCAAACCGGAGGACTGGCTCTGCTTCCAGCTTCAGGAGATTCCGCCACGGGAGGTCTCACCCAGCTGTGCAGGGCGACGCTGTGTCAATTTACGAAATGCAAGTACCGCCGTGCGCAACGCGAGGCCTTTACATCTACGAAAAACGCGATTGGCGTCGTTCCTCTGCCAGCCTTGTCTGATTGAATTTATCTCGCTCTTCCTGCTCGTCTTTCGGAGGCGGCTCCATCCGATGCTCCGCTGGTGCTTGCCCCTGCAAGTGAGCCCTAGCTCCGCTCGTCTAACGGAATCCTCCAACAAACTATCCTCCCACGAGCTCTCCGCGAGCTACCATCAGTCAGGAAGGCAGCATCGCTAGGGCCGAGGATAACGCCAGTGGCATCGGCGATCATCAGGGGATCTCCGAGCTGGACAAAACCTCGCGCCTCGGCGCTTCTCCGGGTTCTCCTGCCGCAGTCTGCCGCGAAGGGAGAATCTGCAGAGAAACGGGGTCTCAGTCTCAGCCCGACACGCTGACATCGCGCAGAATCTCTTGCGACGAACTTGTGTTTGAGCTCGAGCCGGCGAGGGACAGGAACACACACTTCTCCATGACTTTCGGGCTGACAGAATCTGTAGTCGTCAGATATTCTTCACTCTCTTTCACTGAAGCCTGCAGACCACCCTAAAGCCCAAACCCTAAACTAAACCCTGCATCCAAGCCACGTCCTCGGGGGCCTCTGCAGAGCTGCCCCGTGGTCGGGACATCCTAACCTCTACAGCCTAATATGCGAGCCTGAGTAATGAAGACCAGGGGTTTTGCGGGGCCTTATACTAAGCCCATGGAAAAGGAAGCCAACAGCATGAATGAGACACCGTAACGAGACAAGTGCTGATGAAATCTGGTCATACTGTTTGGGACCATCATGCTTCTTCGTCATCACCGACTATATGATTATCATGACCTTCACACCAGTTGGATCGAAAACAAAACCTCTGCGCGCTCCACAGGTTCGGCTGTTTGTAATCTAGGGCCCCGGGGGTCGGGGGATAGGGCTCATTCTTCCAGCTTGTAGGCCAAGGGTGGTTGCTGACAAATTCGTCTACACTGCACCCCGAATCCTCAAGCCGGAAACCCAATTCTCTTATTGCATGTGTCGCCCAGGGCAGGCCTCTCTGTATCCCGAACCTGGATCGCGTCCATCGACCCTGACTTGAATTCTACTCCCGTGTCCCGAACTCCCCGAGATTCCTCTGAAACCAAGACCGCGCAGTGGCCTTAATCGTGTCCCAAAATGCTTGGGCTGCTTGAATCGCCTGGTCAACAGAGCAGAGGCTGTTGCCCTGCGACATACTTGCCTAATGCAGGAGCCTTAAAGACTTGATTTAGAACCGGTCCGTGGCGAGGCGATACTATGATACGACCATATATATATAATGTGTGTATATATATATATGTGTGTATATATATGTATATATAATGTATGTATATATATATGTGTGTGTGTATGTATATATATATATACGGACTCTAAGACGGACCTTGTTTCCAGGCGATCGGGCTTCGGAACTGCAGGTTCCCATTGCAGGCTTCACCCAAACGCGGGCCACTGAAAGACCTCTAGACTTGGAGCCCGAGTTTGGACTCAGGATGGCCAAGGACGTGCCACTGAACTTGGGTTTAGGGTTTAGGGTTTAGGGTTTAGGGGCTTGGGCTTTATCCCTGGACTTCAACTACCAGTTCACCCGCCACCGAACATAGTCGCATATGCCCTGCTGTCGGAGAATATCAGCCTTTGAGATCGGGCTCAGTATCTCAGAGGACTCCGAAGTGCAGGGAAGACAAGTCCAGGGCCAAGGGTGGAGGCTCGGAGCTTGAAGGGCTAAACTTAGCATAGGCTTTAGGGGCCCTATGGGGTGCCTTTGGATTCCCGGTTCGAACCAGCCAGTTTTCAGACAAAGATCCGGAAACAAAGGCAACTTGGGGATGCGATCGGCGCTGCATCAACATCCGAAAAGCCCGAAGGTCCGAAACGAGTCGAAGCCTCAGTCAGAAGAAAAAAACAAGGGACCCTAAGCCTGCAGCTTGATTTGATCTACATATTGGGATTCGAATCCAAGGGCCTTTAGCCTTAGTCCCTCATTTTTAGAAGCCATTAGAACCCCAAATCCAGCTCTGGCCTTCGTACACTGCTCCTCCGGCGGGTACTGCGCCAACGCACCGGCATTCAATGCTCCGATGCTGGTCCCAACAATCATAGACCAATTCCTGCGCGGGGCCCCGACCGGCTTTAAGTACGGATCGCTGTCCGCTTTCGGGAGGACGGAGCTTTGATCCCGAATGGCTAAAACGGCCGAACCTGTTCTGCTGCGCACCTACAGCTCTGGGCCCTTATCCTACACGTCCCCCCAAACTTTGACAATCAAGCCCTCATATGGCGTCCTGTACTTGTGCAGGGAATCGTTCCGACAAATGCCCTCCAAAACGCCGAGCTCGTAGGCGCCCTGGAACACTTTGTCGAGGCTGCGACATCTCTTATCAAAGGTGAGAACCAGACCCCGAACCATTCCGGACTCTCCACAGGCCACGCCCACCATACCTCGATGAGGAAGGATGCCTACGGAGCATGCACCACCGTCAGCGGCAAAAAGGAGATTGGCCTTCCTCCTTGGCTCTGGCTGGTCGAGTCCAGAAGAACCCCATCCCCCATGCCAACAAATTCTGCTGCATTGAATCCACTTAGTCTTCTGT